CTCAGCTCGCCAGGGAGGATGCTGTTGTAGGTAGGGCTATGGCCCCAGCCCACTCAGAAGAGTCTTCATCTGTGTTCATCTCTCAGTCAAATCCTAACACAACCTCATCTCCCTTCTCTTGGCTGGTTCCACCCCAGGCAGCCATCCATCACTCTAGCCATCCAGCCTGCAGGCTGGATCCGGACTGCCAGGGTTAGTCCCTAGTGGGTCCCCACTGTTATATTTATCTGCACCTCCACTGGTACTAGTGATTGCAGCTCCCGTTGGCTGGGAATGTCAATCCACAGCCAATGAGAGCTGTGATCACCAGTACCTACAAAGGTGCAGGTAATATAGCGGCAGCGGCCTGCCAGGGACTAACCCTGCTCTAGGAGGAGGTAGCTAGGTGAAGCCATTTCCCTGACCCTTAGTCATACTTCTATCCAGTCCCAGTAGGCAGCCAGTGACTCCTCAGAGCAGTGGACACAGTGTGGAGGGCTCTGTTAGCCGTCCTCTTCTGGATCTCTCCCTTTGAGCCTGTCTCTGCCCTCTGGTCATTTTTTGGCCCCTGCAAATGTTTACATGAAGGGTTCTCTCTTCTCTGGCCTTTCCTTTGTCAGGGGGGGTGGGCCCTTTGAGAGACATCTGCAACCCACGGCCTCGGATCGACAGACTTAGGGCTTGTCTGTGTTGACATGCTATAGCTGCACCACTTCAGTTTAGTGGTAGAGATGTAGCCGTGTTAGTCTGGGGTAGCTGAAGCAAAATGCAGGACTATGTAGCACTTTAAAGACTAACAAGATGGTTTATTAGATGATGAGCTTTCGTGGGCCAGACCCACTTCCTCAGATCAAATAATGGAAGAAAACAGTCACAACCATATATACCAAAGGATACAATTTTAAAAAATGAACACATATGAAAAGGACAAATCACATTACAGAACAGAAGGGAGATGGGGGGGGGGGTGATGTATGTGACTTTCACACTAGAACTGTAGGAGATCCAGGAAAGATACATCATCACACTGGCAGGGCCTGCAGTGGATTCAGCTCTTTCTT